AACCAACAATAGCATTGTAGGGCCTGTGTTTTTCTTGTTCCTTCCTTATACTTTGGTATGTAGCGGCTCACTCAGCCCTGGCTTCTGTAAAGTGACTGTCTTTGTAGGTGGGGAGGTTGAAGCTAAGCTGAGGGGGCTTCTCTAAGATCCTTGATCAGAGCTGGGGTCAGGGCCTGGTTCTTTCAGCCCAGGACACATAGAGAGTGCCTGCTGTTTACAGTGTGCCTGACAGCTTGCGTCTGGGCTGCCTTGAAGCTCTTCTGTTCTTTCCATAACCAAGCTGTGTGTCAGGGATGAAAAGAATACTGGGGCAGGGGTGACTTCATTTCCAGCCAAGGCCCTCCTTTGGGGCCAGAGTCCTAATGACTTCCCCTCACGCTGTTGGTCCCATCACTGGAACCTCAGGTGCTTTTCTATTCCGGAAAATTTATATCTTGTGGTTTTTGTGGTTAAGAGAAAATTATGCCACCAATGACAGGTCCCCTGGCAGGCCCCTGGGCTGGGCTGGCAGGCCCCACTGTGGTTTGTCTGGGAAAATAGCCCTTGCATGTTTCTGTGACTACCACAACTTTCCAAAAAGTGAGAGTGGCTCTGTTTTACTGTTGCGGGGAGTCGCTGCATGCCGCTGCCTCTGTTCTCTGTGAGCGAGGGGAGCTCTGCTCCTCAACGGAGTCAGAATCTACAGGTGATGGCAGCTGCCGGATTCCAGACCCACTCACAGATGGTAACAGTGCACTGGTGTCTTTTCCTGTCCCACGACCAGGGCACCACCCGCTGTATAGGCTTCATTATCTGTGTGCTTTGAGGAGTCACTGCAGTTCTTGGGCCTGCTTTGGATTCTTCAGCAGGGATCTCTCAAAAACAGATGGTCTGGGGATGTGGCTCACTGGTAGAGCAGTTGGTTAGCACACATGGGGCTCTAGGTTCAAGCCCCAGTACTGTGGGGTGGGGGTTGGGGAAGGAAACTGTTCATTCCTTTTCCAGGGAACTTTCCTTAGTTTTTGGAATGCTCAGACTCCTGTGCTTGACACTTGCCCAGCTGGTGTTTGCTTTCCACTGCCTTTTAAAAAAAAAAAATTGTTTATTGGTACATTTTAGGTATACAGCACAGTTACATTCATCCTTGGGATCTTGTACCTTTACATAATGTATCTTGGTTCTTATTTTCTCTTCTTCCCCCTTCCTTATTTACAAAGAATTTGTTTCCATCTTCTCCTTTTCTCATATTTTTTCTTTCCTTTCCCCTGCCTATCTGGGCTCAAAAAGTGTTCACTTGTCCATCCTGGCAACAAAGGTTTTAAAATAGCAAATGGAGTACCAAGCACTGTACTGGATACCTTGGATCAAGTGGTGACCAGCAGTGCAGAGTTTACAGTTTAAAGAAGGAAGCTAACAAGTAAAAAGTTAGAGCTGCTCTAGGTCATGTGTGTGGCAGTTACCTGGAGGCCTCGGAAGGATTCCTGGAAGAAGGGGCTCTCAGCTGAGGGATCCCTGGGAAGAGTCCGCCTGGCCCAGGGACAGTACCTTGAGGCCAAAAGAGGACTGGACAGGTTGGAAGGGGAGACCAGGGAGAAGGCTGGCACACTGGCTCAGGCCAAGCCCGGTTGGCTCTATTTGTGTTGTTTGGCCATCGCCAAAGACGTGTGCGGAGTAGATACATTATTAATCACTTCCAGAGAGGTGGCCCATGAAGCCCCATGCTGATGACAAGGTGACCTTTATTGCTGCTGTGGTTGGTGCCAAGAGCTCAGTGCCAGGAGCGCAGCCTCTTCAGTTACTGTGGAAAAGGGTGGTTTTGAGTTTGCACAGCTATTTGGTTGATGGTTCTGTCTTTGGCCAGCCCTTTGAAGCTGGTCTCTGAGAGCTGTTTGGAATGGAGGGAAGGGCTGGCTGTGGGGAATGTGGGATGAAGCCCATATGCTTCCTTCCTCAGCCAGTTTTTGAGCACATGTCATGTGCAGGCGCAGTAAAAGGCTTGTGGGGATAATAATGAATGAGGTGGGCAAGTCCATGCTTTCATTTGTGCCAGGGGACCTAGCTTTTATTTCATTATGAACTGGTCATTCCTCCTTGGCAGATGAGGGAACTCAGAAAAATGAATTGACTCTCTGGAGGTCACACAAGCATAAGTGGCAGATTTGAATCCAGATCTTCTCATCTCAGAAGCATATGTTCTGTTCTATTCCTGGGAGCTCAGGTTTGCACAGCAGAACTGTTAGCCTGAGTGTGAGGCCCACTGTAGTCAGGGCTGTAATAGAGTAGCAGAGGGGAGCAGAGTCCTGACTTGGCTTGGGGAGTCTCTGGGGAAAGGGAGGGCCTTCGGGGTAGAAAGGTAATTTGAGCAGAAGGATGTGAGGAATTGCTGGGAAAGTGTGTGCCTGGAGGGCAGGGTACCTGGGGGGGGGCAGTGGACTGGAGTGAGCCTGGAAGAGGAGGTTGAACCCTGATTTTGGAGTTTGCCTCTGGCCACATTGGGAGGGACCTACTTAGGTATGCAGAAAGGAAGTGGCATATGTGTCATTACATTTGTGAGCTTTGTGCCCCAAAAATGGCAAGTAGACATCTTAACACATGTGGCGACTGGGAGTTATGAGCCTCAGCAGAGAGTGATTAGCAGTGTCTGCTCAGAGCTGCACGCCTCTGCTTGTTTGATTGAGGCTGTCTGCCCTGGGTAACGGAGGGGCAGCTGGTGCATCGATGCCCTCCGTTTACCTCTCTCTCTCTGTCTCTCTCTTTTTTTTTTTTTTTTTTTTTGTATCAGGAATCAAACTCGGGACCTTGCACTTGTGAGACAGGCAGCAGAAGCACTGAGCCAAATCCCTGCCCGCCCCCATTTACCTCTCTTAATAGTGCTTTCACCAAACATCAAAAACATACCATTGAGTGGTTTTACTTTGATTCTGACTTGTTGCTCCCTCTTTAGTGGTGCTCCCCACTTGCTCTTGATCCTCCGGCAGCCTGAAAGTAGTAGGATTTGGAGTTTGGGGCCACATGAGAGAAGGCCAGTGACCTGAGTAGGCTGAGTCAGGACTCACCATATCAGTGATGGGCCCAGATTAGTTTCCAGGGGAAATTTCAGGAAGGCCAGTCCGGCAGCAGGTTTTATTGTCATCGTGAGTCTCTTTTTATACTCTGTCTAGCCACAGGGATTCTTTCCCTGGGGTCTGTGGACACAAATGAGAAAAAAAAATGCGCTTTTATTTTCATTAACCTTATCTACAGTGTAGTATGTTGTTTAGTGTGGTTGTGGGCAACAAGGCACAGTCAGTAAACACTGGTGACTCAGTCATCAGGAGGAATTCCAGATATTTTCATATCATATTACAGTCATGGTACTATTTGAAAAAGCTGTTTACCCTTGTCAAAACTTCAAAGTTACAGTTATTAGACTTACTGTTAGATATTATTTAATACTTTAATAAAGAAGCTTTATTACCCTCTCACAGTTTAAAGTATTTTGAAAAATATATTTAAATATGATGGATTTTCTTTGTAATCCTGTGGGTTTTATGTATTTAACAGCATTGCTCTCAGCAGTCTGGGCCTCTGCAGATCACCAAAGTAGTCCATGGCCCCAAAATAGAGTTAATCTCTTGCTCTAATTGGAAGCTTTTCTAGGTATTTGAAATTTAAAATTATTATTACTGTTTTAATATGGGAGCATGTTAACAAGAATCTTTATTCATTAGAGATGTATACTGAGATATTTATAGATGAAAGGAGGAGAAATGAATTAGCAATCAGATAACAAAACTCTTGAGGGCAGCAGGGCCCGAGGAGGAGTGTCACACTTTGAAGATGGTACTTGCATTCGTGTTGTTGTCATCGTCGTCTGTTTTGGTTTTTGTTTCTTCCTCACAGTGTTGGGGATCGAACCCAGGGCCTTCCCTCTAAGCTACATCACCAGCCCCTTTTTCACTTTTTGATTGTTGAAACAGCGTCATCCACCTCCCTGAGTCCTGGGATTAGAGGTGCGCACCCTCACGCCCAGCTTGGTGCTTGCCTTTTGGGGACATTTGGAAGTCCCCAGTGGGAGGCCAATGGAATGGTGTCCCCATCTCAGCAGCTCGCACTCGTCACTAGGTTGCTAGATCTCAGCCAAGCCAGGCAGACCCTTTGTTTTCTTGGGGTGGCAGATTCATGTCCTCTACCTCTGGTTGGAATGGTCCCCCTTCTTTTTGTCACTCCAGTCTGACTCCAGTCAAGCTGTCCTTGTCCATACTTACCGTATTAAGAGTCTCGGGAAACCTTTGGTTACTCTTCCCTTAGGAGATACACAGATTCACGTGTCTGGAATTTGTATGCCTCTCAAAACTTGAGTCCCCGAGCGCCTGCATGGATCTCAAGTCTAGGGCTCTTACTAACTCTGTCCCTGCCCAGCAGTCACCCATTGGGTACTCATTATGTGACCAACACATGCTGAGTGTGTCACTTATATCCCCCACTCCATCAGGGAGTTTTTATTCTTATCCCCATTTTCTGAAGAAAGAAACTGAGGCTTTCCCAGGGGGTTGAGTAATTTCCCCAGGACCATAGAGCCAGGGTGCACTTGAGGCCTTGGATCCCAACCCAGATGGTCTGATTGCAGGCTGGAAGCCTCCTGGTAGCCCACTCTTCCGAGTCCCCAAGTCCTCTCCAGTTCCCCAGCTTATCGTGGGCAGAAGGCTGTTTCTTTTGGCCCGGTCTGTGTTCTGACTGGTCTTGCCCGTTACGCTCTGCAGAGTGTGGTTCTGCAGGCAGGCTGTGCCACCAGCCTCAAATGTAGCAGGGGACTTGTGGTGGCTCCCAGGCTCCTTGCTTGCTCCTTTGGACCCTTCTTCTTCCTCCTTCTCCCTATGTGTGGCCTCATGGCTGTGTGAATATCAATGTAGGGCCCCTCAGGCTCCCCTCCTGATCGGATTACTCTTGTGGCTGCCTGAGCTTTCCTGTTGCAGTCACTTGAGGCCACCATGTGCTTGTGCCACCACTGATTGTGCCTTTTCTTCCTGCACTTCCCACAGGCGAGGCTGGTGCGATATATCTGTAAGCAGCAGCAGTGTAAGCTTAGTGTGGCCCCCGGCGACAGGACCCCAGAGCTCAACAGCTACCCACGCTTCAGCAACTGGCTGGACACCTTCAGCGTCAGGCCAGAGGTGGCGCAGGTATGTGAGTGGGGCTCAGGTTGCAGGGCAGTGCGTGTGGGAGAGACCATACACAAATCTGAGGGCCTGTTTTCCAGGGGCCTTTCTCTCCAATCACGGGAAGGGGGTGTTGGGCTGGCCACAGGAGCTACTTCTGCCCAGATGGCAGGTGGAGTCTTCTGGGGGATCCAGAGAAAGGTGCAGCAGATACTGAGTCAGGTGATGTGTAAATTACACAGTCATGAGTGATTTGGCAGAGCTGGGTAATCGGTGAGCAGCTAGCTCAGGTGGATCCAGGGGTCGGGCAGCACAATTCCGATTGTGCCAAATGCCGCTGGAGCAGACAGGATGTTCCTTGAGACGGAGAGCTCCAGGAATGGAGGAGCAGGGCAAGACAGCAGGAGCGCGCCCTGCCTCCCTGTGATCTCTCCACTTAGAGATCATGAGGCAGCACAGAAACTGACATGCCTCACGCAGGGCTTCTATTGTCTCCCTTCCACAAACACATGGGTGCCTTCTTCCTACCCTGTCACCCCACTTCCATATATTTTCCACCTACTTGCCCAAGCCGCAGACCCAGGAGCATCCCAGATTCCTCCTTTGCACTTCTCACATTTGCAAGCCTTGCAGCTCTGCCCGAAACATATTGTAGACCCATCCACCACTCTCCGTCCCACCCTGCGCAGTGAGGTCCAGGCCATGTTTGCCTCAACCCCCACGGCAGCCCATTCGCTATTCTGTGTTGTTTACACTCTTCATCCCATGTCCCACTCAATATCCAGAGGGCCCACTGAGAAACATTCGTCAGACAATGTCATTGTCATGGCTTCCTGCATCCTTCAGAGTCAGTGCCAGATGCCTCGTGTGCTTTTGCCCCTACCCGCCTCTCTGACTTCATGTCACTCCCTCTCCTCTGCTCGCTGTGGTCTGACCTTTGCACTTGCTCCTTCCCTCTCTGGTGTCCTTCTGACTCATCGGTGAACCTCTTTCTAGTGTTGGCTCCATTGACATCTCCTCTTAGCGGTCTTCCGTGCTGATCTGATCTGAAGTCTTCAGGCTGAATTTTAGTGAACACCACAAATGCCCTTTAAAATGTTGTAGGACAGTCAAAGCAGTATTCTGCTCAGCTTTATAAAACAGGCCCTGTGGAGAGAGACTCGTGCCATATGTATACGGAACAAACAGTAAGCCACCAGTAAGACCGTTCCTAGACTTGTGCTTGGTTAGGTGGTAGTTAGGAGTCCTGTGCCTGTCTCTGTCCCTGCCTGCTCTTTGCGCAGTTACGTAGGGTCATGCATGTGGAGTCAGAAAGGCAGAGGAGAGACCAGGAGCCTTGGGTGTGTGCTGTTTTCTGTTAGACCTTGGAGGCTATAGGCTCAGTGCCACTTTCTCCCTGGTCTGGTCTGTTTCCCCTAGTGAAAGCTAGAGAACCCCCTACCCACTCACCCAGGGCCAGCAGGACAGCTTGGCTCTCATTGAGAGGGAGGAGTGCCAAGGCTCTGCCATCGTCCTCATGGGACAGCCCTACCTCAAGTGTCCAGGTCTTGTAGGAGAGGGGCTGCCCCCATCAAGCTTCAGCAAGGCTCTGGAGCCCACTGGGCTCTCTAGAAATCTGGGAGGCAGGGATGGATTCACGGGGGTCTCTGAGGTAGCTGGTCCAGCCGGGAGGATATTTCTATAGCTGGCCTCCGCTCTGCCAGACCCTGAAGTGTGGCCTGAGGAGAGTCTTCTCCAAGGCGGCACAGAATACAGAGCTTAGCTCCCTGAGGAAATCATCCCTGGTGGTGTGCCTGAGAGAGGTTTGAACCAAAAAGCCCCACCAACATCAGGAGGGAGTGGAATGTGAATGGGAGACCAGAAAGCCACAGCATCTGCCCCTCTTTTTCCAGGCAAGAATTAACACACACCACATTCACCTGGCTACAGTTTGTAACGTGGCCTCTGTAGGTCCCCGTAGGCAGAGCTGCAGGTAGGCTGGCCACAGGTACAGCTGTTTCCCTGAGCACTGGCTGTGGATGACCAGGTAGCGGGCAGGCAGGACCTAGGATTCTATGGATGTCTCAAGAGGTTCCCTCTACCCTTTATACTTGGTGATATCTTGAGCAAGGTACTTCATCCCTTGGTCCTCCACTTAACTCATACAAGACATTAGATTGTCTCTGAAGCCCTGTCTTCAGCCAGTTTTCTCCTGGAGAGTAAAGAAATCTAGAACAGGAGAAATCAAGTGGTGTGGTTTGGGGAAGATGTCCATGGGCACCTCCTGTGCAGGATGGCTTTGCCTTGTCTCCCAGCTGTCTCTCTCCCGTCAACTGTACTACCACTGTCTTTTGGAAAGAATTGCACAGCACTGTGCTTTCCTACCTGGCTCCCGTGTAATGTTTTTATCCCATGTTGGAGCAAAGAATTCTTCCCTGCAGATAGGGATAATGTTTTTACCTCCCACTTCCTGTGCCCCCAAGCCAGGCTTTTATCTCCCAGGATTTGAACATAGCTTCCTTGTGTGTGTATTTTTTTTTAAACCCTTTCTCTCCCCACATAAAGTGAAATAAGAAGCAAGCAGATATCCAAAGATTCTGAGAAATGTAAGTTTTAACCTGTTTTCACACCAAGCGAGTGAGTGTACTCCTGCTGGGCCACTCCAGGGTGACAGCCTTGTTCCCAACTTGGTGGATGCCCCATCAAACTCTTCACGCATGATGCAGTCATTGAAGTTGACATGCAAATTTGTTTCCTTCCTGTTTTGGGTTGCTAAAATGTGATCATGCAACATATATCATCCTATAGGGGTTTAGTCTTAATTTTATTTTTCTATTAGTCTGTACTAATCCTCCGCATTCTTCTTAACCAGTAAAATAGTGAGAGATTTCTTCAGGATATAGGGTTATGATGAACTACGGTACATAGTCCAGGGGTAGAGCACTTGACTTGCATGTGTGAGGCCCTGGGTTTAATCCCTGCCATGACCACCACCACAAAAAAGAAACAAAAGAACCCCAAACCCTTCTCAGTGACTGAGGGCATGCTCCCCTGCTCACGTAGGTGCACACAGTGATAGAGCTGAAAACCTGTGTCCAGAAGAAGCCAGACACCCTGAAGAGGCCTCGTGCCCAGCGGCATGGTGCCTGGCATATGGAAGGTGGCGGCAAATATTTGCTGGTGAAGGAATGATAGGAATGAACAGAAGTCCCTTTGTGATGGATGCTGGAGGTGCCAGACTTAAACGGGGTCTCTCTCAGCATCTGTCTGTCCTCCTGCCAGATCCATGAGACCTAGCAGTTGGCTTTTGCTAATTCCATCAGTGCAGAAGGGGTCCAGCATTGGTGCAGCCCATACCTCTGGATGATTTGACCCAGGGCTGGTCCCGAGGCCTCTGGGGACGGTCTTTGTGACGTGGAATTTGCCTCTTCAGGCCTCTGCTGACCTTGACTCTTCATGGTTCCATGACCCAGCCCCTGATTCTTCCCTTAGGAAGACACACATGAATCATGCGTGTGAAGCTGTGTGAGTGGGGGTGGGGGTGTTTTCGGTGTTGTCCTCTTAGGGTTATCTGAACATCACTTTGGCCTTCGTCTGCAGATTGGACAGTGTTTGTGGTCAGAAAGTTTGCAGGACACAGTGCCTTTTCTGCTGGATGTGTAGAGAGGAAGTGGGTATGGATGTGGTCACCTGGTGATAGCTGCTTTTCTAGGAAGGGCTAAGGTGACTGGTTCTGCACTGGTTTCTTTTTGTCCCCAACTGAGTCACACACATCACAGCCCTCCAGCTCAGTCTGCTGTGGCACTTCTGGACATGTGTGACCTGATTCATCTTGTCCTCCTTCAGCTGGATACTGGAGTCAGAGAGCTTAGGCAGTTCTTTCTGTGGTTACCCTCACATTGACCCTTCATCCTGCCAGCAGCGCTCTGGATGACAGGGATGTTCCGGGCCCACCTTCCAGTGTGGCAGCACTCAAAATGTACACAGTGTAACTGAGAGCCTGAAGTTTTCATCTTTATTGTAATGAATTTTAACTATACATTGGCTATTTCTGGGGGACTTGCCAGGTCTAGGGTCTACTTGGGGCAGTGTCCTGCGCTAGCAGCCGGGACAGACTCCTTGGCTCCAGGCTAGGGTGAAATGCAAACCAAGAGCTGGCATCAGGTGCCCCCGCAGAGGCCAGCCTGGGATAAAGAAAGACCATTGCAATCTCCAAGAACCACGGGGGATAAGGAAGAACCCCCAGACAAGGTAATAGGATCTGCTAAGACCCTGAATGCAAGGAAGCTGGGGCTGTCCTCATACAAGGCACTTGAGACTGGAGGAGGCCAGTCCAGAAAGTGGGTTGGACACTGGGTGCGTTCTGGGACCTCTTCATGTTAGGAACGCAGGGCTGGGGCTCATCTGTGGGATAATGAAGGGTGTGTGTGAGGGGATGAGGGAGGAAGAGTGAATATAAGCTCCTGGCCAGAGGCGGGATTCACACAGCCTCAGATGAGAGGCATGAGGCTGAGGAGCACCGGCTGCCAGAGTGGAGGAAGGGCTGGGTGGCCTGGAGGGTGGCAGGGCTGGAGAGTGAGTTCAGAAGCACCCCACCCCCCTACAATGTGACAGACTCCAGCCACCCTCAATCCACAGGTTTAGTCTGAACATCATAGCTTTGTGTTCTAGCTGCAGCTGGGGAAATGATTTCAGAGCTGGCTGGCGTGGAGCCATTTTTTTTCCTTCCGCAATTTCCCTGTTGAAAGTTGTTAAAGGAAGTCACCAGTGCCAGCCTGGATCTGTTGTAGTGGGCAGGGGAGGTGCAGCAGAGCCTAGGATTCCAGGACCAATTCTTGGCCATGGCTCTTTGAATAAGCTTTTTCTACTAGTGATTTTTGAGCTGAACATGATGCCCATGGGTCCAGTAAGGGGTTTTCTGCTTTGGGCCTGACAGGTGCAGTTTTTTCTCTCTCTTCTGTCTTTGTATTCTCAGGTTTAAAGTGAGGCCTTCTCTTGGAATGAGGGGAGAAGCTATGTAACCTCTGCTACCATCTTGGGTTCTC